CGGAGCGCCCAGAGCCGGCTGAGCTGCACTACAGTGTGGGGGAGTGCGGGGGTCGGGAGCGGGAGGCTCCCAGATTCCTGGCAATGCTGGAGCTGCGGGCAGGAGAGCCGGAGCGGCGGCAGGAGGCGCGGCTGGATGAGAAGGTGCTGCTGCGTGTCCCCAATGTCCCCCTGCGGCCTGGGCAGCGCTTCACGGCTACCATCGCTCTGCGCCACAACTTCACCGCCGACAGCCTGACACTGAGGTGAGAGCAGGGACAATGGGGACACTATGGGACACTGCGTGACACTATGTGAAAGTGTGTGACAGCGTGTGGCTGTGAGTGACACACTGTGACAGTGAGCGACACTGTGTGACAGTCTGTGACATTGTGTGGCAATGTGTGGCAGTATGTGAACATCTGATACCATGTGCACTGGGTGACATTGTGTGACAGTGTGACTGTGACACTGTGTGACACCATTGAATACTGTGTGACATTGTGTGACAGTGAGTGACACTGTGTGACAGCGAGTGACACCGAGTGATTGTGGGTGACTCTGTGGGACACCGTCTGACACTGTGTGACACTGTTTAACACTGTGTGACATTTTGGGGCTTTGTGTGACACCAGCTGACACTGTGTGACACCATGTGCCCCACACAGGATCAAGGCCAAGAAGGGCCTGCAGGTGGTCTCCGCCCGTCCCACAGTTCCCAGCACCTGGAGCGTGCACCTGGAGCGTTCCCGTGGTCCCAAGCATTCCACAGCCGTGGTGACGTGCCGGCGGCTTGGGGACATCCCTGCCATCCCTGACAGCTCCAGGTAGGGAATATCAGAATCCCCCATCCCAGTGGGAATTGTGGGTTGTTCCACCCTGATCCTGGTGCGGTGCCGCAGGGTGTCGGAGCCGGCCGAGTTCCTGCACCTGGATGTGGCTGTGGAAAACGGGACGGGGGGGCTGGCGCCGGCGCGGCCCCTCACGTGGCAGGTGGAGTATCCTGGCCAGGATCCTGAGGCGCAGAAGGACAAACTGGTCTGGGAAATCCAGGTGTCGGAGCGGGACGTCCGTGCCCTCGTCCCGCTGGTGCAGGTGGGTGTCCCCATCCCATTCCAGCCCTCCATCCCGTGGGAAGCGCCCCCTCATCCCGCTGTGCTTCCAGGAGCTGGAGATCCTGAACACGGCACCACTGACCGGGGTCCCCCGCGTTATCCCGGTCAAACTGGTGGCTGTGGAAGCAGGGGGTGGAGTGTCCGAGCTCACGGATCCTGTCGGATGCGAATCCGCTGACAAGCAGGTGCTGCAGGTGAGTGCTGCTATCCCCTCGTTATCCCGCCTCACCCTGGGACATTCCCATGGAATTCCACGTGCCCTTGCAGGTGTCGGATTCCTGCGACCTGGTGTTCGTGGGGGGCAAGGAGAGCCGAGGGGCGCGGGGGGCCCGCGTGGATTTCTGGGTGCGCCGGCTGCGAGCGGAGCTGAGCTTCTCCGTCTGGGCTCCACTGCTTCCACTCCGTGTCCAGCTGGGAGATCCCATCCTGGAGCAGCTCCGGGGCTGGAAACTGCCCGGGGGGCCTGACAGGTGAGGCCTACAGAATGGGATGGTGGGAAAAGGGGGAGATGGGAATGGGGCTGGGACCTGATGTGTGGGGATGCATCAGTGAGCCCCCAACACGCTCCTCTGTCCTGGGATTCTTGTCACTCTGTTGTGGAATCCCAGTCTCCCTGTCTTGCAATCCTTGTTCCCCTGTCCTTGGGGAACGCCTTGTCACCCCATCCTGGGACTCTCGTCACCCTGTCCTTGTCCCTTGTCCACAGTGCCGTGGTGGAGTCCGAGGACCTCGCAGAGGAGCCGGAGCGGCGGGCGCGGGGCTGCCGGCCCCAGTTCCAGCGCACGGGGCTCCGTGTCCTGGCACACTTTGTGGCCCACCCCCTGGATGGTGGCCGTCACCTGTCCTACCTGCCCGGCCCCGAGTGGCTCCTGGATGTCACCCATCTGGTGGCTGCCCGGACCCGTGTCCAGGACCCCCGCGTGGCCTCGCTGGAAGCGGGGGCTGTGGTGGTGGGCCGGGAGCCTGGAGTCACCTCCGTGGAGGTAAACAGGCTCTGTTTGTGGGATCCTGGGAAGATTTGGGGTGTGGGAAGATTGCAGGGGTGGAGCTGGGGGGCTGGAAATGATCCCAGTGGGAGCTGGGCAGGATACAGGGAGGGAGGGAACAGAGGGGCTGGCACAGGATGGGAAGAGGAAGCAGGGGGTGTGAGGAATGTTGGGGGACTCACAAGGTGCTTCCAGGTGCGCTCCCCGCTCTCCGACTCCATCCTGGGGGAGCAGACGCTGGTGGTTTCTGAGGAGAAGGTGACGGTGACAGAACTCCGTGCCCAGGTGGTGGCTGGGCTCTCCTTGTCCCTGCGGACACAGCCGGATCATCCTGGTGTGGTCACCGCCACCGTCCTGGGAACACCCACGCTACAGGCCCTCAAGCAGGTGAGATGGGTGGGGGGTGACCCCAGCCTCCCAGGTGTCCCCCAAACCTCTGCCATCCCGCTTGTCATCCCGCCAGGAAGCGACCCTGTCCATCTGGCTGTCCTTCTCCGACCACACGCTGGCCCCACTGGAGCTCTACGGGTGGCACGACGTGGCCTTGACCGTGACGTCCCTCGACCGCGCCGTCGCCACTGTCAGGGGCTCCCCTGGGGTCCCCGCTGCCCACCCGTGGGTGGTGGCCGAGGGGCCGGGCCGGGGGGCCCTGCTCCAGCTCAGCCTGCACCCCCCGGATCCGTGCCGGCGTGGCCGGCACCGCGCGGCTGCCCTGGCCACCGGCACGGCCTGGCTTGAGGTGGGGGTCCCCTCTCCCGGGAGCCCCCGGCCCTTCCCGCGGGCCGAGGGCGCCATGTCCGGGGAAGCGGTGACCGTGGGACAGAGGGACCCCGCGGGCGTGGGGCCAGCGGCCACCAAGCTCCAGGGGTCTTCCTCGGAGGAGAACGAGGAGGAAGGCTACGGACGCAACCGTGCCAGCAATGAAGAGGAGGAGGAAGAGGAGGAGGAGGAGATGGTGAAGGCTCCGGAGCGGGTGACTGACCTGGAAATCGGGATGTACGTGCTCCTGGGAGTCTTCTGCCTCGCCATCTTCATATTCCTCGTCAACTGCATCTTCTTCGTGCTCCGCTACCAGCAGAAGGAGCTGCCCGAGCCGGGCGGGGCCCCCTCGGCCCCACAGCCCCACAACTGGGTCTGGCTGGGCACCGACCAGGAGGAGCTGAGCCGGCAGCTGGATCGGCAGCAGCTGGATCGGCCGCAGCCGGATCGCCGGCAGCCGGAACCCCCGGCATCCCCGGGCCCGCCCTGCGGCTGCGGGGGCCCCCCAGGCTCCGGCGAGGACGGGGCTCCCCCCGGCTCCCCGGCCCCGCCGCCCCGCAAGGAGGGGTCGGCTCCAGGGGGCGGCCGCAGGAAGCGGGTGGAGTTTGTCACCTTTGGGCCCCCCCGTGTCCCCGAGGAGCCCCCCCCGGCCGCCCCCCAGGTCCAGTCTATCCTGGTGGCCAGCGAGGACGACATCCGCTGGGTGTGCGAGGACATGGGGCTGCGGGATCCCGAGGAGCTCCGGAGCTACATGGAGAGGATCCGCGGCAGCTCCTGACCCCGAGGGGGCGACTCCCGGACCCCCCAATTCCCGGGCAAACCAGTAAGGGCCCGACCTCCTCCCTGTGCCGTGCTGGGGGGACACCGACCCCCCTTCCCAGCGGGATGGGCCGGGGACCACTGGTGGCCTCCTGGGACCACCCTGAGGTGCCCACAGAGGGTGAGGGGGGGTCTCCCAGCCCTATCCTTATGGGGGCTGGGTCCCGGCGGCAGCGGGGAGGAATTCGGGATGCTCTTACTGCTTTGGGTCTCATTGCGACATGGTGTTCATAGTGGTGATGATGATGGTGGTGATGATTCCTGTGGTCTGATCCCGGGGAGGATCCTGTATCCCCCCCACCTTCACCCCGGCCACGCATCCGTTTTGTACACATTTTTTATCGGGAACGCCCGGGAAGGGGCTGCCAGGGGCTGGTATTTATGGAAAATTTTTAATTCTGACGTTGTTACAAAAATAAAGTATTTAAAAAAACAATTGCGATTCTCCTTCGTGCTGTCTCCTGTGATCCTGACACCGGGTCCCACCCTGCCCCCATGGCAGTGCCAGGCTCCTGGGAATGGGCACATGCCCTTGACCTTGGCTCCACGTGGGAGCTGGTCACGGGACTGGATCCAGGGCTGGGCCTGGCTCTGGCCCAGCTGGGGTCACCTTGGGATAAGGGATCTCCTTCCTCCCTCTCCTGCCATCTTCCTCCTCCACCTTTCCAACCCCAACACCAGCCGGGTACTGCATGTCCCCGACATTCCCAAGTGTTCCCTCAGCCCCTCCCTATATTAGCGGCCACAGGGATTCTCACTCTTCCAGCTTCCCAGTAAGTCCCAGCAATTCCAAGACACCCTTGATAACAGCAGGAAATCCCCCACCCTGTCACCCTGCTCCTAGCTTCCCCAAACTTCCCAAAACCATTGATCCCACAGTGGAGATCAATGTCTCCTGGGATGCCCCACCTCCCATCCGTGGAAATTCCAGCCTTACCCCTCACCTAATATTCCTGAAGGGTTCTGGGGTGATCCTACATGTGCTGGAAGATGCTCAGGATGTGGAGCTGCAGGTAACATTGACTCCAAAAAACAGGGAGAAGAGGGGAATTCCTGGCTGGAATTCCAGCCATCTGGTGGATGGCTCCACCAGATCTGTGTCCCCCGGGCTGGGAGCACCAGACCCATGAGGCTCCCGTGCCCTGGAGGGTCTCTGGGGTCCCCAAAACTCTGTTTCCTCCCTGCCAGGGCAGGATGGAGCCACCTCATCACCTCCTCCACCCCAGAGCACTGAGTCGGCTTCCTGCCCACCGCCACAGTCCCGGAGCTGCCGGAGCGCGGGGGCACGGCCAAGCCACGTCCCCAGGCTGCTGAGAGAGGGACCCCCCGAATCCCAGAGCCCTGAATTCCATGGGGCTGCCCCGCTGATGGCATGGGGGGGCTCTGCCTGCTCTTGGTGGCTCTTTCTGCCGCGGCACCTGCACAAGGTACGTCACTGTCCCCATCCTGGCCCTTGCTGTCGCTCTCTTGGCACCTTGGGGTGGTGGAGCCACAGATTTGGGGGTGGGGGACCTGCCACCCCCCTGGGATGGGGAGCACTGGGGGTCCTGGGGGCTCCCCAGCAGGCGGGTCAGTGGTGGAGGATGCTGCCCCTCAACACGCTCAGAGGGAAAGGGATCCCCTGAAAGGATGTCCTAAGGCTTGGGGATTCTCCTAAGGGTTAAGGTCCCCTTGGATCCCCCCAAAAGCATCCTGGGAACCCCTAGAAGAGGACCCTAAGCCCCTAAAGGTGCTCTCGGAGCCACCCCACCTACAATCCCTTTGGGAACAGGGTGACACTCAGGGCCTGAAGCCCATCCTGTCTCTCAAGTACCCCCTGGATGGTTTGGGGATGTGATGCCACCTGTCCTCCCCACCCTGTCAGGATTTGGGATTGTTTGGCTGCCAAAATGTCTGCCAGGAGCTGCTTCGAGGCCTCCAATTGATGAGGAAATGGCCCCATCACCCCATCACCCCATTTCCGCCCTTGTCACGCCTCCATCCCCACCTGGAGCAGCTCATTCCCACCTTCTCCCCTCATCCCAGGCCTTTTCCTTGAACATTTTAACTCCAATCCACTCTGCACCAGCTCTGGTGGCTCTTCCCAGGATTCCCACCCACAGCAGCCCCTTGGATGCTTCACTTCTGGGGCTGAATCCTTCCCCCTGGAGGAGCCAAATGGGGCATTTTTAGGGATAACTGGATTATCCACTCACCTGTGGCTCTGGAATGGGTGTAGGCAGGTGGGTACGGACAGGTCCAGCCCCTCTGTGTCTGCAGGGATGAACCGGAAGGCGGGAACAACACGGATGCAGGATGACATCCCAAATTTCAGCTCTTCCACCGCTGAGTCGTGTCCCAATATTCCCATATTTAAGGCCAAATTCTCCCAGCAGATCCCACACCAGGATTTAGCCTTGAGAAACATCCTGGGGCACACAGGGATTGATTTTTGGGATGCAGCAGCTCCGTGACCACTTTGCCAGAGCCCGGGGGGATCCCCACTGTGCCACTCACAGCTGGGAGAATCCTGTTGCCCACATTTTGGCGGGTTTGGGATGCACCCCACCGAACTGGGAATGCTGGGGGGCTCAGCTCCTCATCCCTCTGTCCTTTCTCCCCACAGTCCCCACAGAAACGACAGAATCGCCCAACACTCCGGCAGGGAACACCTCGGTGACTCCAGGTGAGTGTGGGAGGGTGAGGGACATCCCTACACCCACTTTTCGGGATTCTGGGACAACGCCAGCTCACCCTTCCCGGTGCATCTCCCAGGTCCCAGAGTGCTGCGGCTGGTGGGCGGCCGGAGCCGCTGCGAGGGCCGTGTGGAGCTGGAGCAGGAGGGGACATGGGGGACGGTGTGTGACGACGGCTGGGACATTTCTGATGCCGACGTCGTGTGCCGCCAGCTGCGGTGCGGCCGCGCCGTGAGAGCCCCCGGCAACGCCGCCTTCGGCCGCGGGCGCGGCCCCATCCTCCGGGATGAGGTGCAATGCCAAGGACACGAGCGGGACCTCTGGGAATGCCCGGCCATGCTGGAGCACGACTGCAGCCACAAGGAGGACGCCGGTGTGGTTTGCTCAGGTGGGTTTGGAACATTCCAGAGCTGGGGATGCGGATGGCGCGTCCTCACCTCTGCGCTCTTCCCGCAGAGCACCAGGAGTGGCGGCTCTCCGGAGGCCGGGATGGGTGTGCCGGCAGGGTGGAGGTGTTTTTCCGAGGCACTTGGAGCACGGTGTGTTACAGCACCTGGTACGACACGGAGGCCATGGTGCTGTGCCGGACGCTGGGATGCGGGGATGTGCTCCAGCGGCCGGCCTTCACACACACGCTCCCCGGGAAGATGACGTACATGTGCGGGAGCCTGCAGCCCTCGCTGGCACAGTGCCACTGGACCTTCAACAAATCCGCTCCCTGTTACCAATCCGGGGCTGCTGGGGTCATTTGCAACGGTACCGCATCCTTCCCGATGGGATTTGAGGCACGGCCTGGGTCCGGCTCTCTCCCAAGCATCCCATTTCTGTTCCCGTCCTTCCCAGGCTCCCAGGGTTTGGAGACGCCAACGCCCACAGTGGCTGAGGTGACGCCCAGGAATGTCAGTGTCCTGCAGGGTGAGTGTCGGAGCCCTCGGCCATTCCCTGGGATCAGGGTAAAATTCCCAGGAGGTAAGAGTCACGTGGGATGAGCTGTGTCCGTTCTCTGTCCCAGCCGAGGAGGGGACCCCGACCTTGGGGACACCACCAGTGGACAGTCCCCTCTTTGTCCTGTGCCTGGTGCTGGCCGCGCTGCTCCTGCTCTCCGTGCTGGCCTTTTCCGCTGCCCTGCTGAGGCTGAGGAAGAGGAGTGGTAAGGAATTCTGGATCCGGACATGGAATTGGGACACAATCCCCACTTTCTGGGCTCAGCTCAGCCACGGAGTGGGTGCATCTCCTTGTCTCCACAGCCATGTCCTCCTTGGGAATACCCATGCCAGTCCTGGTGACCCACAGCTCCCAGAGCCCCAACGCACCCTCCAGGATCCCCAACGACTACAGGGAGACTCCCACCAGCCTTCCCAAAGGATCAGGTGGGTCTGGCAGGTCCCCCCAGGGGCTGTGGGGCCAGAGGTGCCAGCTGGTGACAGATGCCACATCCCCTTGTCACCCCCCAGACGGTCTGGTCAAAGCCATTTCCAAGGATTCTGATTCTGACTCGGAATATTATGAGTTCAGCAGCAAGCCTCCCATCGCCCTGTCCACCTTCTACAGTGAGCATCCCACTTCCTCTGGGATCCCTGATGCCCTGTCCCGGGATCCCTGTCACCCAGGATGTTCCCACCCCTCTGCCCTTCCCACAGACTCCCTGCGCCGGCATCCCAGGGAGGATCTTCTCCCTCCGAGACCCAGCCAGGACAGGATGGAGCCATTTCCTGAGGATGGTATGACACAAGGGGGGGTCTATCCCATGGATGGAAGGGTGGCCATGCCCTTTTCCAATATCTTTGTTCCCACATTTTATGCCCTTGTTCCCACAGAGCCGGCCAGGCCGGGCCCCCCACTCCGCAGCTCCTCCAGCTCATCCTCATCCATGGAGCCCTATTGGAATGGCAGCATTCCCCCCCCTGCCAATGGCTATGGCACAGGTGGGAAGTGTGGGAGCAGGGATGGGAGCAGGGATGGGGAGACCCCAAGGATGGGAAAAAGGGATGCAGAGACCACAGGGATGGGGAAGGAATGGGGGTTCAGGGACCCCAAGCAGAGGAGCAGGGATGGGAGCAGGGACAGAGGGACCCCAAGGATGGGGAGATGGATGGGTTCAGCCTCAGTGAGGAAATGGGACCCCAAGGAGTGGGAGCAGGGCTGGACAGTGCCAGTCCGTGACTCTGCTCCTCCCAGCTCCCCCGGCAGTGCCCACCCCAGCGCCCTCCCAGCCCTGGGCACCTGCAGCTCCGGCAGATCCCGATCCCGACGGCAGCTCCAGCACCTCCTCGGGCGAGTGGTACGAGAACGTGCAGGAGAGGGAGCCCCCTGGAGATCCCTCCTCACATCCAGGTGAGGATCCTGTGCTGGAGGTGGGGCACACACGGAGTTCCAGGCATTCCCAAATCCTCCTGATGGGCTCTGTCTCTGCAGCCTGGTCAGATCCATCCTATCCTTCGCGGGAACATGGGGAGGATCCCGACTTTTCCGAGGGCAGCGACTACGACGACATCCAGGACTCTGCCTACTGAGCCTGTCCCACCACTCCAGAGGCCAAATCTCCTGGAATTCTCTGGCTTTCTCCTCCAGAATTCTCCAGCCATTTCCTCTGTGCTGCCATTAAAAGCTTTTCTCACCATGTCCCTTGTCCATAGGGGTGTCACCAGCCCCACAGCGAGGCTGGGCCACCAAGTGCTCCCACTTGTCCCACTGGCACAAAGATGGCCAAATATCCCACTCCCAGCCCACAGGAGCAGGGAAGGGGGCTGCAGGGCCCTGACCCAGCTCCATAGCACCAGGGGTGGAAATTAAACTGCAGGAAGGGCAGACATGGAAGTCCCATGTGTCCCCCCAGAGCTTGCCTACACCCTTCTGGGACAGTCCCCATCCCGGAAACATACTGTCCATAAATCCTGTCCAGGAAGGCTCCAGGGATGCTGGAAGGGAAGCCACTGAGGTGCCACCCCAAACCGACTGGATGGTGCCCTATGAAGGTGGGATACAGCCCCCAAATCCTTCAGCACCTCCCAGTCCATCCATATCCCAGCAGGAAGCTGGAGCCAAGCAGCTTCCTGGAGCCAAGCACCATCCCAGCTTTGGCATTTGGGGTGCTCCCAGCTGGGAGGGGGCACAGCACCCACCCATCACCCCAGGACTGGGACCCCTCTGCCCCTTCCCTGCTGTCCATCCCATCCCAAGCCGGCTGCTCCCATCCCGGGCCCTGTCATCGGATTTCTGCCTCCCCGGGGAGGAGGTCGGGGTTCAGCTGCACCCCAAGTGGAAAATGTGGCCCCCCCCCACATCCTCCAGCTGGTTGCTGAGCGAGAGGCCCCGCACAAAGGAGCCGCAACAACGGAGGAAATCCCAAAATAGCAGCAAAACCCCGACAAAGGGCACGGGCGAGGCGCGGGCTGCGAGCGGAGCGGGCACGGGGCGGGCACGGGGGGTGCCCCAGCCCTGCTTCTGCTCCGGGTGCCAGGGGGGCTGGGAGGGAGGTGGTGATGCTGGGATCGCTGGGATTGTGGCATGGACAAGCCTGGAAGGATCCATGAATTGCGGGGCGTCCTGATGCCCTGGAGGGGTCCCAAAATTCAGGGGTGTGGATGTGCTGGGTGGGATCCCGATGTGCAGAGGGGTAGCAGTGTCCTGAGGGTGCTGATTCCCGGTAGGGCACCAATTCCCTAGGGATAACAAAGCCCTGGAAGGTACCAAAGCCCTGGGGATACCAACATCCTGAGGGCACCAGTTCCCTGGGGATACCAACATCCTGAGGGCACCAGTTCCCTGGGGATACCAGTGCCCTTGGAGCGTGACAGCCCAGCCAAGGTGTCACCTCCATCCCCACACAGCCACATCACTGCCAACCGTTCCTCCGAGCTGCTCCCGCCCAGAAAATCCCCCTTTTTCTCATCATTATGATCCCAGCAGCGTGCCGACAGCCGACAAGCCCCTTCCCGCTCGCTCCAAAGGCAGCTCCTGCTTTTTGAAAGGCTCCTCACGGCTGGCAGCGTTGTCAGCACTTCCCAGCGCCCCCCAGACTCCCCCCGGGAAGGGATTCCAATCATCCCGAGCTGCCGCGGCACGCTCAGGATGCTGAGCTGACTCGCAGCGCCCGAGGCAAGGCAGATGCTCGATCAGAAGCCAAATCCTACCCCTGGGATCTCATGGCCTCCAGAGGCTGCCACGGCTCTGAGGGAAGGGCTGGGCCCCAAGCACCCCATATCCATGGGGGTCACACACCTCTGGATAGCACAGAATCCTGGGATGTTTGAGGTGAATCCCAAATTTCAGGCTGATTTTGAGGGATTGCAGCTTGCAGACTCTCCACTGAATTGTGAGAGCAGGCCTGGGAATTGCACCCCTTTTCCAGGGAATTTTCAAAGCCAAAGTGGGTGGTGGGCAGCCCCGGGACCCCCATGTGGGATATTCCAACAGGGCCTGCTCCCACCAGGATCAGCAGAACCACTGGGATAAGTGGGATGGGAATGAGTGCTGGCTACAGGGAGCATCCAGATGCTGAGATCCTACTCCAGGGCTGGGGACTGGAGCATCCACGGATGCTGGAGCAGGATGGGATGGGAAGTTCCATCCATTTCTCCTTCCAGCAGGAATACCATGGAGTCAATGGAAAACAGCTGCCTCATTAGCATGCCTGACCTGGATTCAGAACATTTAATTAGGGCACAATCAATTAACGCCTCTGTCCTGGCCGGGTCCAGCACCACTGGTGCCCCACGTGCCCTTGCAGGGGTGTAGGGTGTCCCTAGAATGCCAGAACCTGGAATGTGCCTGGATAAAACCTTCCCCCATCCCATTCCTGGGGGTAATCACAGGGTTTTAGGGGATGCCAAGGGCATCAACTCTTTTGTAACCCTGGGGGGCTCGGGGACCCCCAAATCTCCCTTGGCACTGGATATATTCACTACCTCCCTTTCCCAGAGCTGCAGAGACCCGGGGATTTGGTGGGGGCTGAACCCCACACGCTTCTCACCCCTTTCCTCTCGTGCTTGGCGGGACCCAGGGAGGCAACAGAGTCTTCAAACGGGCCCAGAGGTGACGTCAAAAAACCACAGAGGGAGGAAAAACAGCCGGTTCCTGTCCGGGCCCCCTCCCTCGCCTGCTCCGGGCCGGGCAGCGGAGGTGGCGGAGCCCCCGGAGCCTCCTGTGCCCCCATGGCACCAGCAGAGCCCATGGCAACCCGGCTGCCCATCCTGTGCCTCCTGCTGGGAATGTGGGGTGAGTATCAGGCACCCTGACCTCGGTGCACTGCTCAGATCTCGTGGCAGAGCCCCCCCAGTTTTCCCGCTCCGGGCGGGATCGGCACCTTGAGCGAGCCACAGTTTGGGGCTTGGGGTGAGAAGCGCCCTGGTGACCCCCCAAACCCCCACCCAGCTCACCCTGGGGTCTCCAGGGTCCCAAGATTGAGCCAATGGTGCTGAGGGCAGCCAGGTATCCCCACATCTTCATTCCCTGACAGCACCCGCCCTTCCCTCCGTCTTCATGGCACCATTCCCGAACATTCCACCCAGGAGCAAGGCTAATTAGCGGTAATTTGCAGGGCCCTCGTCTTTTCTCAGCCCTAAAAACCCCGCAGCAGACAGATGGGGAGGCAGCAAATCGCCTTTCTCCCCCTAAAATCCCAGTTTTCCCACAAAATCCCCCTTTTCCTCAAAATAACCATGAATGGGGTGAGCAGCAGAGGCACTGTCCCAAACTCGGGGTCCGCAGGGTGGGATGCAGGATTGACACCCCATTTCCGCTCTTTCTCGCAGCCATCCCGGACCATGGAGGAGCTACCCAGATCCGTGGAGGTGAGAATTTGGGAGCAGCCCTTTGGGAATGCCTCCACAGCTCCGTGAGCATGGCGGGTGCTGGAGTTGCATCATCCGGAAGCGGCGTCGCGGGGTCCCAGCTCAGGCCCCCACATTCCCTCGACCCCTCCATGCTCCCATTCCTTGTGCTGCTTCCCAAGGCCCCCACCAGGGGCTTTTCCATCATTCCCAGGCTGAAAACCCTCTGGGAAGGGAAGGAAAGCCCCTAATGATGGCATTTTCCCGGTGTTTTCCCACAGAATCCATCCTGAGACTCACCAGAGGCGGCTGCCGCTGCACTGGGATACTGGAGGTGAAGAGGGAAAACCAATGGAGACCGATTTGCAGGGAGAGTGTGAGCATGGAAGACCTGGGTTGGATCTGCCAGTGGCTGGAGTGCGGCCCCCCGACCTCTGAGCCCTTGGAGCTCATCATTCCCAGTGGGAAAGGGCCACAGAGTCAGCCCAGGAGGTGCATTTCCCCACCTGAATGCCAATGGGAGCTGGAAAACTGCACGGAGCACGTCATTGTTGCCTGTGGAGGTGAGCCTGGACCCCCAGCCCAGCCACCTCAATCCCTAGGGATCATCCATGCCCACGTGGCCCCTCTCTTCTCATTCCAGAGCCAGTGAAAACCACTCCCAAGCCCCCACCAGCACCCCCAACCACCACCCCGGAGCCCACGGGTAAGCACCTCATCCCAAGGAATCCATAGCCTCAAATTTGGGAACTTCCCGCTAAATAATGGGAAAATTGCCATCCCAATCCATAACACTTCCTCTTCCACCCCCAATCCCTCTCCAGGACCCCCAAGGCTGCGGTTGGTGGACGGGAATTTCAGCTGCTCCGGCTTCCTGGAGCTGCACAAGCAGGGGCTGTGGGGGGCCGTGGCGAGCATCCCGCACTCCTGGACACATCTGGTCACCCTGATCTGCCAGGAATTGCGCTGTGGCACTGCTGGGAGCAGCCACGGCGAGCCGGACCCAGGGATCCACCTGCCGGTGCGGTGGGAGGCGGTGGATTCCTGCGGGAGCCGTTCCCTGCTGGACTGCTTCAACAGGAGCAGCGCCCGGGGGAAAACGCCCGCCTTCATCACCTGCTCAGGTGAGAACGGTCCTGGAGCACCCGTCATTTCCTGCTCCTCCGGTGGGATACCCCGGGGGGATTTTGGGGCCCGGAACAGAGAACCAGCCCCATCCCAGCCTGCCCCATGGGCCCCATCCACCCACTCCTGCTCTTCCTCTCCGGGGTGCGAAGGCAAAACAGGAAATCTCAGTTCCCGGCATTGCCGAGCACGGCAGTTCCGAGGAGGATGAGCCCTGGAGGGAGGGCAGCCATGGCAGCATCCCAAATTCCAGCTGGGGGTGGGGAACACGGGCAGGCACCAGGCTGTAGGCAGCTCCCGGAGGAACTTGCATGCCTCGGGCATTTCCCTGAGCACCTTCCAGCCTTGGGCATCTCCATGCTCCCATCATCTCCCTGCCTCGGGCAATGCCCTGGATATCTTCCCTGCCACAGGCATATCCCCTCTTTTCCATGAGCCTCTTCCCTACTACAGGCATGTCCCTGCCAGAGCATCTTTCCCTTGCCATGAGCATCTCCCAGCCACAGGCCTCTCCCTGACATTTTCCATGAGTGTTTCCCTGGAAATCAGCTCGGTGCCAGCTCCATGGCACAGAGAGCCAAACCATGAAGCTCGGAGCAGGCTCCTTGTGGGTTCTGCCATCTGCCCCAGCCTGGAATCCCGTGGGACTTGGGGGCTTAATGGGCTGTGACAGCTGGCAGAGCCGGCTGCCATGCTGCATTTCCCATGAGAAGAGTTCAAAGCCCTTCCATGCCTGGCTCTGGTTTGGTCCAGTCCCTGTGGCATGAGGGGAGATGCTGGGATCATCCTTGTGCCAGGAGCTGGTGCTGGGAGGAGGAGGAGCATGTGCCAGCAGCATCCCTGTCGATATTATCCCTGTCTGCCTGTGGGTCCAACTCCTCTCTCCCTGTGGTTCTGGCTCTTCTTCCCACAGGTCTGACCCATCTCCATGGATCTGACTCCCTTCTCCTTGTGGCTCTGACCCCACTCCCTGGATCTGACCCCTGTCTTCCCATGGGTCTGATCCCCCTGTATCCATGTATCTGCTCCCTCTCCTCATGGATTTCACCCCTCCCCACGGGTCTGACCCCTCCCTGTGGATCCAACCCCTCTCCCTGTGGATGTGCTCTCTCTCCCACAGAATCCCAGCCGCGGGCCCTGCGGAGGCTGGCAGCCGGCCCCACTCCGTGCGAAGGGGACATCCAGGTGTTCCATGCGGGACAGTGGTGGGATCTGTGTGAGTCCAGAGCAGCACAGCGAGACAGGCGGGGCCAGCAGATCTGCCGGGAGCTGGGCTGCGGGAATCTCACCTCCAGCATGGAAATCCGGGAGCCTCCCTCAACGGGAGTCACCTGTGGGCTTGAACCCCTGCACCTCTGCCAGCCCAAACCTGGGAATATCCGGAGCTGCTCCCGGACCAGAGTTGTGTGTAAGCCACGTGATCCGGGCTGGGAGCTGGAATTCCCACTCCTATGGAATGGGCAGGGATGGGGGGGACCAAATCCACGTGAGATTTGGGCTCCTGGCAGGGTAATGGATATTCACATCTCAGTACCAACCTCCAGCTGGACACATCCAGTGACATCCGTGCTCTTTCCAGGCCAGGACTCAAAGCCGCTTCCCACTGGAACATCTGCTGGAACCGTCGTGAGCATCTGCCTGGCCCTGCTGCTTTTCCTCATCCTTTTCCTGATCTGTGGCCCTCCTGCCTATCGGAAGCTGATGAAGAGAAGTAGGGGACAACCTTGGGATCCTCATCCTTCTTTTCTTCCTTCTCCCGCTCCACCATCCCCACGTGCCAGCCCAGGGCTGGGAGCTCCATGGATGCTTCCCTAAACTCCTTGGGGGGGGGGGGATTTGGCTGCTCAGCCTGACAGATCCCCCTGTCCCATTATCCCCAGACCTGCCCCATTGTCCCCAAGCCTGTTCCACATGGAGTGTGGGAGCGGGAAGAGGGATTAAGCTCCAAGCGGGCACAAAAGAGCAGGTGGAGGATCCTGGGGGGGGGGGATTATTGGGGATGACATATGGGGCTGGCGGGGGGGAAGCAGCTGGAGGAAGGATCGGGAAGATCCTTGGAGACACAATTCCCCCTCTCTCTCAGTTTCCAAGAAGAAGCAGCGCCAGTGGATCGGCCCCACGGGACTCAACCAGACGGGTGAGGGGCAGCTCGCTGGGGAGCTGGGAATGGGGTTTGGAGCTCCTGGGGATGGATCTGGGGTCTGAGTGGGCTGTTCCCTCCTGGATCCTGGCACAAGGGCCCTGGATCTCGCTTCCTTTTGGAATATAATTCACCCAGGAGATGTGGGTCTGGAGCAGGGACCTGTTTTACTCAGCCCCTTCCCGGGTGGGTTTGCTCCCTCCAAGCTGCAGTTCCAACCCCAAAATCCCAATCCTGCTGTCTTCTCCAGTGTCTTTCCACCGCTCCAGCACCACTCCGAGGCCTCGGGGACAGGGAGGGGACAATGACTATGCTCAGCCTCCCAAAAAGAGCTCCCAGCTCTCCGCTTACCCAGGTAAGTGCTGGAAGTGGCTCCTTCCCGTTCCTTTCCCATGGATGTGCATCCAGTGAGGTGCATCCATGCTCTCCACAGCTCTGGAAGCAGCGTGCCGGCGTTCCAACCTTCCGGATAACTCCTCAGACAGTGACTATGACCTGCACTCCGCCCGCAGGGTGTGATTCCCTGCTTCCCAAAGAAGCTAATCCCACCTCCCACCTCAGCTTTGGGGGCATCCCAGCATTCCAGCACCCTTCCAGAAGCCTTCTTCATTTCAGCACACTTCCCAGCCTCCTCATGGGAGAAAAGGAGGGTTTTGGGTTTTTTGTAAGCTATTTATAGGAATTTAAGAGGTAGGGGGTGCAAGGAGCCCTTTGGAATAGTGGGATCACCAGCTTCTCCAAATCAGGATAAAGAGCTGGGATGATGGATAAAGGATAGGGATGCAAGGGTGGGAATACTGAGAATGAGACTGAGATATTTAATAACAAATACTTGTAATAAAATTGGGGTTTTGTACTAATTACACCTTGTCCTCTTCCTTCCACTATCCCAGTGTGACTCCGAACCCTCAGTAGGAGGGAAAAGTGGGACAGGGAAACTTCTTTTTCCCTGGTTTTTATCCCAGGGATAAATGCAAGAAAAGCAGGAATTGCAGCAGGCTTGAAGATGGTTCTGGGAGGGCATGAAAGATTTTAGCGATGGGATCCAAAGGAAGTTGGATGCCAGGAAGGGATAAAGGGATCAATTCTTATCCGGATGTTCCGCCGTTTCCCAAAGTAACCAGGGCCACGACTCCAGAGTGCAATTAATTCATCCACTTTTATTACTCTAATTAATCCCAGGGATGGAATTGCTTCCACCAATCCCTCATCCTAGTCCATTAGTAACCATTCCTTATAAATAACTTAAAGGGATACAGGCAGGATTTGAAGGATAAAGTGCTGAGCAAAGCAAATCCCGTTTCCATCGTTTGTCATTCCCTCCGTTTCCAAGTGTTTCCTGAGAAGGGAGATGTGAGGAGCCCGAAAAACCACACGGGAGGTCGGGAATACTGGAGGCTGCCCAGGCCCAGGTGGGAATCACCAACTCCCACTGACAGCCCTGGAATGGTTTGGGTGAAAGGGGATCTTAGGGATCAGCCACTTCCAATCCCTTTCCACTTGCTCCAAGCCCTGTCCAACCTGGCCTCAGATATTTCCAGGGATGGAGCTGCCATGACTTCCCTAGGAAATCTATTCCAGGGTCTCATCACCACCACAGGGAAGAATTTCTTCCCAAAATCCCACCTAAACCCACCCTTTGACAGGGTGAAACCATTCCCCGTTATCCCATCACTCCAAGTCTTTGTCCAAGTCCTTGTCCAGTTCTTTTGGAGCCCCTCTAGGCACTGGAAGGTGCTCCAAGGTTTCCCTGGAGGTTTCTCCTCTTCGGATTTCTGCTGGTCTGGCTCTGCCTCTCACTCCGACCTCCGGAGCTGTTACTTATCCCATGTAATTCCTTTGCACCGACGGATCCAGGAGCAACACTCTGGAATCCCTCCTCTTCCTCAGTCCCAAAAAAAAGGAGGAATCAGCACAGGATGCTCCTCAGAAGTCCTGGATTAGTATCCAGGCCAGGTAGGACGCTGAGGGTTTGGAGGTGGGGGGTATCCAAAGGGTGGGGGAGGCCCGGGATAGGGAGCCTGTGTTGGGATCGGGAAATTCGGGAGAGGGGGCTGAGTGGGGTATGGACACTGCGGTCTCCCTGGTCCAGGTGGGATGTAGGGAGAGTATCCTGGTCTGGCAGGGGGAGGAGAGGGTTGGGGAGCAGGATAGGGCAAGGGCTGTGGTGGGCCCCGGGATGGAGACCAGGAAAAGCCTCCGGAGGTGGATTTGGGATACCCTGGTGCAGAGTCAGCAGTGGAAGCTGCTGGATATCCGGGAGCTGGAGCAAGAGGGTAGGGAAAGGAGGTCTGGGAGCTGGGCTGGGAGGAAGCCGCGTGTCCCACGGCGACTGGGGATCCTGGGAAAGGGGCAGGAGGAAGCGCTCCATGGGCAGTGGGGCCAGGAGGGAGGGTCGGAGCCGGGCTGTAGGGTAGAGGGAAGGCCGGAGATCCTGATGGGAAGGGTTTTGGTGGATCTGTGGGAATGTGAGGAGGAGGAGGAAGAGGAGGCTGAGAGTCCCTGGTGCGCTCCTGGGATCCCTCTGACTTCCTCACGATCTCCTGCAGCTTTTCCACTCGGACCCGGCGCAGGTGGGACAACTTCCTCATCCCCGAAAACTGCTCCAGGAATGTCTCCAGGGGCACTTCCCCCTCCAGGAATTTCTCAGCCATTTTCTGCAAGAGAGGAACAGCCTCGGGCTCATTCCTGCATCCCTCCACTCCAGTCATGCATCCCTCTGCTCCTCTTCCCTAAAATCCTGATTTAGGTCTCTCCCAGCCACATCCCACACACAAACAAGGATGGATCCAGTTCTTTGGAGAAAACCCAGCAGACTCCAAAGATAATCCATTACTTTAGGGACTGGGTTTAATTGTAAGTCTTCTGAGGATGAATCACTGGAATTTCCAATGGATTTAAGGCCTAAACTCACCTCAGACTCCTCTTCAATCTTCTGGCTTTCCACCTGGAGGAGATCCAGCAACGTCTGAGGCTGCAGCGCTGCCGAGAATTTCTCTGTGAGAAACAAGGGGGGAAAGAAAAACCAAGGAAAAATCACTATCACAAAACAGAAACCAGGGAAAAACCAGCAAAGAACCCACAGGAAAGGGCTTGGGAACTGCTGATGGAAGGAGGGAAACCCGAGAGGAATAACATCCTCGATCTCTCCAGCTGCTGGAAAAAAGAGGGATATCAGTTTTCCAGGAAGCAGAATCCTTCCTGGGCAAAGATGCCAGTGCTCACCCAGCTTTTCCTTCTGCTCTCTGCACCTCCCAGCCAGCTCCTGCAGCTCCTGGTATTTCTTGGAGAGGTCACTGCGCCCCATCTCCAGCGGTGCCTGGAATTTCAGGTTCTGCTCGGCCAAGCTCCGGTTGGCAGCCAGGGCCATCTCCCTTTCCAGCTGGAGCTCCTGGACCTATGGAATTTGGATTGGTGAGCACAGGAAGGGGACAAAGACACCCCATGGCCACCTCCTGGCACAAACCTCCTGGGATTCCAAAGCCAAGCGCTCGATCTCCTGGGAATCCTCCTGCAGCTCCCGCAGCTCCTCCACTGTCCGGTTCCTCAGCGTATCCATCCTCCCAGACTGCTGGAACATGGAAAAAGAGGCAAATCAATTCCCAAATTCAACTGGGAATAGGTTTCCAGCTGAATTCCAGGGTGGTTAAAGCCCCTGGAGCAGCTGCACTGGGTTCTGTTAACTGAGAGGGAGAAACAACATTCCCACGAACTCCTGCTTGGGAAAAGACTTTTCCCCCTTTCCTGAGCTTATCTGGAGGGAATTTTGCATGTCCCAGGATGTTTTGTCAAGGAAAAATCCACCCACAGCCCCAACTTGCAAATTCCAGCTGGATGTCTCCATCCCACTCCAGAATCCACCTCATTTCAGTCTCCATCCCATCTCACCAAGGAAATTGAGATCTGACCATATCCCACCATGCCCACAGGGCTGGAAAGGACCTCAGGGACCATCTCATTCCACCTTCCTGCCATAGAATTCAGTGAAATTAACAAAAAGATCAGGGAAATTATGGACGTCCTGCACCATATCCATGATTTACCCCAAGCATTCCCAGCTGTCTGATATGTTTAACTAAGTATCCCGTGTGTGGTGTAAATTCAAGAGGTGGGATGGAATAATGTGGGAATGTCCTAAAAACCAACGAAACACAACACACCTGCGCTGTCCTATTCACTCCAAGTTCTTCTATCTCTCATCCCAAAGATATTACACCGGAAATGCCGCAAGAGCCACGCTGAGGCTCTGGGTTGCCAAACCCACGATCCAGACGAACCTATCCGAGGGAAAAACTGGGAATTAAATCCCGCGCTGCAGGTGTAAGGCAGAAATCACCTGATTTCGGTTTTTTAGGGGCGTTTTAGCGAACTTTCATGGAGTTTAGGAAGGAGAAGAGGGAACGGAGGGAGTGGGAAAGCTTGGGGTGGGGTCTGGGAAGCATCCACAGGCGCTCAGGAAACTGGACGCAAAGAGCTGCCCACTTGCGGGGCTGAAGCGAACTCCGTGGCGGGAGCAGCGCCATTATCCCCGTTATCCCGCCGTTATTTCCATTCCCGGCCCTCTCCCGGACTCACCAAAGCCCCACCGCGACCCTCCGGCCGCCGCCGCTTCCGGCTTCCGGAGCAAACCGGAAGTGGGCGGAGCCACGCGGAGGGGCGGGAGGTGTACCCCCCCCCCGGGCGTGAGGGGGGTGGTTCCGCCCAGCGCCGCCATGTTGGGGGGGGCAGGAGCACGGATCAATTTAATGGCATTTTTTAATCAATAATCGCTCTTTGGCTACCCGCGGGGCTCTCCCTGAGCTGTAGCTGCTCTAGGAATTATATCCTTCGTGTTTCCGGGGTGTAAGGGGTTCAGGGAGAGCTGGAGAGAGGTTTTAGAGAAGGGCGTGGAGCGATAGGGAAAGGGGAAAGGCTTCGCATGGCCACAGGGCGGGTTTAAATTGGTGATCGGGAATATTTCCTTCCCTGTGAGGGTTGCAAAGCGAGATGCCCAGAGAAGCTGCAGTTGCTTCATACCTGGAAGTGTCCGAGGCCAGGTTGGAAGTGGTTTGAGAAGCACATACAGACCTCGGCAATATCCCAAAAATTCATAAAATTTCGGGTTCTTCCAGCTGGATCAAAGCAAATTCCTCTGGAATACCTGGTTAGCTCCTCCTCGCATGACACAGGAATTTTCCTGAGAAAGCTCCAGTCCCATCATCCTCTCCACAAACCCAAATTTTCCAAAATATGCTTGGAAAATGCTCCACTTTTCCACCTGTAACTCCACATTCCCAAAACCCAAGCAAGGATGAGGCAGGGGAAGAGCTCCATGATTTCTGCTCCTTCGGGAGACTTTGGAAGTCTAGGCAAGGTCACCCAGCTGTTCCAGAAGTGCTGGGATCTGGGAAAGGCACCTCTGACCCCATCACCTGAGAGTTGTTGTGGAACAAATGGAGTCATATGATCCCAAATAATTCTGGGTAAATCAAGGACAATTTGTTCCCAGTGTGGCTGATAACTGGGTCAAACCCCCAGTGCCATGGGAAAGAAAAGGGCCTTGACTTGCCAAAGGGAAAAAACATTTTCCAGGCTTCTTTTGGAACAGCTTCCACAGACCTGGAAAAGCTGGAAAATGCTTAATTAACATTTTATATTAAAACATAAGGTTTGAGGAGAGGGGAAAATTGTGTTTGGATTTGCACAGAAGAAATGGAAAAATACCCATTTGAAAGTGTTATCCAGAAATAAATCTGGGATAAACAGGTGGGTTTGGAAGGATATTTCCAGTAGCTACTTATTAATATCCTTAATTTCCACAAAAGATGGTTCCACATGTTTTTTTCCCTTGGATGATATCTTAATCCCAGCCAAAATCACCCACAGCAGGTAGGAAAAGGTGACCTGAAGTCAGAAAATAACCCTGAGGCCCTGAGGTCCTGTTCTGCCAAATTCCATTCCCACAAGGATCAGCCAACATCCCTGGGCTTCCTTGATAAGTTAATCAAATATTTTTAATCCAATCCTGGAAATTTGACACCTCAGGAGCGTCAGATTTCCCTCCTTTCATCTGACAGCTCCGATAAAGCACCCGTGTGATAAAAGCCTTGAGGGAAGGGACAAGAAAAACTGGGAACAGGGCCTGGAAAAGTTGACTTCATGAATCCATTTCCAAGAAAAGCTCTGTCTCCATAAGGGGAATTTTTTGGGAGGCTGCAGAGATAAAATTAAGGAAGTTTTGTCAGAACGAGTTTTGATGTCCCAAAAGCCTGAAAATCCCCGTTTGTTCCAGAGGGTGATTCCCATGAACGTTAAATTCATCCCAAGGGGTGTTTCCACATCAAAAATTACATTAAAAATCTGAATTGTCCGGGTAAAAGCCTAAATTCTGGGAGGGTTTTGTTGCCCGGGAATCCTCACCCAGCCCCGGCTGCATCAACCGGGAGGGAAAGCTTCCAGATCCATCTTTCCAGCTGGGGGTTTTTGGGATCTCGGCATGCTGTGGTGCCCTCTGGTGCCAAGGAAAGCTGTGGCAGGGAGGCCACCTGCTCCCATCCACAGAGCTCCCAAGCACCGCGATGGATTATTCCAGGATCCAGCATCTCATGCCCTCCATTTCCCCACCAAGGTTGGGAAAATCCAGGATTTCTCTCGCAGGAAGCCATTTCATGCCCTAAAGGGGTTATTTTTCCATCCTCCCAGATTTTAGTCTGGATTTAATTAGTGCTAAATAGCAATTCCCATTTTTTTCTCCAGTCCTGAGTTCCACAGCTTCTTCCTTCTGTGGATATCATCCATCCAAAAATCCATCCCTGTTGGATCCATTGTTCTGCTTGGGTGGGATTTACCAGCAGCACAATAAGCTTGTCCTAGAACTTCCCATAATTGGGCAAATGTGGGGTTTTTTTCCCATTGAGAAAACAGGAATCCTGATCCCTAAGGATGTCCATTCTGGGAATTCAATGGATAAATAGCTCTGGGAAAGGTTGATATTTTTGTTTTCTCTACTATTCTGGCCAAAAAAGTAGGAAAACTTGGTAACTCCAAAATCTACAGGGACACAGTCCAGGTTGGTTTCTCCAACCTGGATTTGGACACTTCCAGGGATGGGGCAGCCACAGTTTCTCTGGGAAATCCATTCCAGGGCCTCACCAGCCTCACAGGTAAGAGGTTCTTCCCAATATCCTGTTTTCCAGTTTGGGGCCATTCCCCTTCTCCTGTCACTCCATTCCCACATCCAAAGTCCCTGAACTGGGGGAAAACTGGGACGAGCTGGGGGAAAGCCAAGCTCTGGATGAAGGTCACAGGAGTGGGATTGGGCAACTTGGCTTCGGTCACGTCACCACGTGCTGGATCCATGGCTCCTGAACGGTCACCTTGTCCTGGAGGAGATCAAAGGCTCCCCAGGCTGGAGCTGGCATTCCTCCCTTGGAATCAGCCCCATCCCAGCTCAGAATGATAGAAGAATCTGAGGGCATGATGCTAGGTTGCACTGGGGGAGTGAAATGAAGAAGAACCTGGATGGGGAATGTTGGGAGAAAAGGGATGGAGCACTAGGTTATCACTGAGGGAAAAAAAAGGAGGATGGGATGTGTTGTAGGGGGCTGGCAATGAGAAAACCTTGGCTGATTCCCAGAATGGAAAATCTGGACCTGGCAGCCTGAAAATCCTTCATGGAGCCTTGGCAAGGGGAGAAGGACCTGGAGAGACCTTGGACCCTCTTCCAGTGCTTTAAGGAGTTCCAGGAGAGCTGGAGAGGGACTTTGTAAAAGGACCTGGAGTGACAGGACAAGGGGGAATGGCTTCCTAGTAGCAGAGGACAGGTTTAGATGGGATATTGGGAAGAAATTCTTCCTTGAGAGGGTGGTGAGTCATTCCTGGGAATGGAATTCCCACGGAAGCTATGCCTGCCCCATTCCTGGAAGCGTCTGGCTCAAACCCTCCAGCAAGGAATTAGAGGGTTCAGGGTACAAACAATCCTGCATTCCCACCAGCTCCCACAGAATAACCGGGAGTGCTTCCTGCCCATCCCAACATACCTGTGGCTTGAATCCCCCCAGGAATACGGGGATCCCCTGGCTTGACATTCCCACCCCCCTTAAGGACATTTTGATAACCATCCCAGGAGCAGTTTGCCTTTCTTATCGGGGCCTCCGGCCAAACACCGGAGCCAGGATATAAGGAGCGGGGCCGGGATCGGAGGCACATTTTCCGTGAGCTCCCACCATGAAGCTGCTCCTGCTCCTCGCCCTGGTGGGCCTGGCCCAGGGCCTCGAGACCAGGTGAGCCCCAGGCGGTCCCCAAAAGAGGGATGTGGGATGCGGGGTGATCCCAATGGCACATCCCAGTGATGCATCCCGGTCCCTGTCCACAGGGTGCCCCTGAGGAAGATGAAGTCGCTGCGGCAGAGGCTGCGGGAGCAGGGATTGCTGGAGAGTTACCTGGAGCAGCATCCCTACAACCTGGCTGCCAAGTATTTCCCAGGCATTGCTGTGGAGCCCCTGGAGAACTACATGGATGTGAGAGGCTGGGATTGGGAACTAGGATCAGGGAGCACAGGGGGACACTGGCTCCTTCCCCATCCCATTGGCCTGTTATCCATTCCACTAGCCCCTTCCCCATCCCTGTAACTTATTCCATTAGCCCCTTATCCGTTCTCCTTTCCCCATCCCCTTAACCCCTTCCCAATCCCATTCCAACAGGATGAGTACTTTGGCACCATCTCCATTGGGACCCCACCTCAGGAATTCACCGTGGTCTTCGACACCGGCTCCTCCAACCTCTGGGTTCCCTCAGTCTTCTGCTCCAGCCCAGCCTGCAGTAGGTGTCTGGAATGAGTCTGGAACGTGTCCTTTGGGAGTCCTGCATGGCTCTGCCCATCTTTCCCAAGGGACAAATCCCAGGCAATCCCCATCCTTCCCACCCCCACAGGGAACCACAACCGCTTCAATCCCGCGGAATCCTCCACGTTCCTCAGCACCAATGACACCCTGTTCATTGCCTACGGCACGGGAAGCATGACCGGAGTCCTGGGATACGACACTGTCGACGTACGGCCAGGAGCTCCAGCCCCCTCATCCCATGGGATCCCACGGGATCCTGCCCAATCCACACCTGTCTCCTTTCTCCCAGGTTGCCGGCATCAATGTC